GTCTCAATTTGTAAATTGCCTTGAGTGATGTCAAATCCAAATGTCCTCCAGCTCAGGAACACTGCCACTATGCCAACATATTTAGACCAGGGAACTCCTAAGTAAACAGGTCCAGGTAAACAGTGGGAGACTTACACTACAGGGACTGACACAAACAGCTACAAGAGTGAGAAAACAGAGTATTTTTAAATATATATTTTAAATTTTATTCCACCTTTCTCCCAATATAGGGAGCCAAGATGGCAGATGTATAGCCCATGATGTGTCATGGCCCATTATAACATGATTTGGAAAAACCAGAGGGTTGGGATGGTGGAATGTAACAAGAGATCAACAGAGGATGGAGGAAGCATGTTAATTCTTCTGGACTCAATATCCACTGGATTAGTTCCCTTTAAAACAGAGCTGGACAAACTACGTACCATAGAAAACATGCAACCACTGAAGGCCTCTAAAGCCCTCAGAGCTGTGAATTAATCTGGGGAAATTCCTTGCCTGAAAACAAGCAAAATACACACACACACACACACCTAAATCACTTGCAAATGCTGAAACTTGCTGCCAGGTCCTTTGGCCCATGAATCAGATCCTCTAAAACATGTACTTAATGAGAAGCTTTTGAGTTTGCATTGGTTCATCTCTGTTATTACAGAGATCCATCTGACTGTCGACTGACACTTTTTTCTTGCATTTGCTAGATCAGCAGTTGCTGCTTCCAAGTTATAATATAAATGAGCTGATTTATATTTCCTCATGGATGGTATATCAAAGACTAGGCAAAAATAGGTGCTGCTCTGTAAAAGTATTTCTCCCAGAATAATTCAAAACAACTTTAAAAGAAATATTTACTTAATAATTATTAAGTATTAATTACTTCCCTCTATGTAAAAAAATAACCAAAATGTTGAGGCTGAGCTGCGTTTCTTTCTCTTGGCTTCGAATGGTCTGTCACCACTAATCTAGAGGCCAGATAAAACAATCCAACCACACTCTCAACAAAACCTACTTTGCCCAAGGTGGGGAAACACATTTTTCAACAGGAATTCCCCACAAAAACATTTGCCAGTATGACTCTTAAACTTTATGGGATTCAGCAGCCTCGTGCAGAAGAATCATATGATGATGCTTTTATTTGGCCAACAACCACTTTCAACTATTGGTAAAGCCAGTGACATTTTAATGTTTTCCCACAAAACCCGAAGTCCATCACATTTAAAAGCTAGCAGAGTAATAAGGAGTTCAGTATTGCATCAAAACAGTGTTCCCTATTTCAAACTGGATCTAATTTTAGCTGGATCTAATTTCTAGACATGACTAGAGTGGATCGATCAAATTAATTGCACTTGTATGATCAAATTCCATTCAATTTGGTAGGTCTACTCTAGTTAGAATTAGAGACTTTGAATTTCTTATTAACATCGTGTAATCCAGGCAATCTACAGTGTTTCATTGAGTAGAGAAGGAAAGGAGAGAGATGTAGATGAATGATAAAACATAACTGACATTTAACATCCTTGATGTGTTGGACTACAAATCTAACCAGAAAATCAAGTATGAGTTTTGTAGCAGAAGACCTCTGGAAACTGCCCATTTAGGAAAGGCAACTAAAAGTACAAAAAGGCTCAATTTAAACGAGATGGCAACAAAATGTGCCAGACGAAAACAGTGGTGTAATATATAGCATCTTCTAGAACACTTTTTTCCAGATGTGAAGATGGCTGGGAAAGTACGGTATAAGGGTACTGCTCCTCCAAATAAAAATGCTTTCCCCTTGAAACTTTCCTGCAGTTCCCTTATCTTGAGCAATGCAGAGTGAGACACTTTAAATTATTCACAACTAGAACTCTTCCATTTGCTTTGTTTTTATTTCTTTGGCCACTTGATCGGCCCCTTTTTTGGATGCCTAAATTGTATTTCTAAAATTTCAACTTAAATTTTTACATTAAAGTAATGCTAGGACTGTGAAAACAGAAAGAAAATTTAATAGGGATTAATTGGATTGGGGGCAGGTGGAGCAATGGCCTGATTTTGCCATCCCCATAACCATATCCTGGGATTTTTGAGATTTTGTTTTTTACACTTGTACAAGAGAATAAGTGAAGATTTACCTCAGTAGAAAATACTATATGTAATGAATACAGTAAAATGTTTACGGTCAATGGCATGCTATCAGAGTCATATCTCAACAAGATTACAAACAAAGAACATGTAAATACAAGAGGATGGAATACATGAATGACAAACCATTTTACTATCTCTTATCTCTGGTAACGGCACGCAATGCAGTCATGCCGTCCACGTGACCTTGAAGGTGTCTACAGACAATGCCGGCTCTTCGGCTTAGAAATGGAGATGAGCACCACCACCCAGAGTTGGACATGACTAGACTTAATGTCAGGGGAAACCTTTACCTTTAATTATCTCTGATTTGCTTACACATTACACATGTCTAGAACATTACATACAAACATCATCTTGGTTAAGAATAGATGTCTGTTAGACAACCTGCAACCTAATACTTTTATGCAAATAATGCTAACTGTTGCCATTCCAGTCTCTATACAAAGCCTTATGCCAACTTGTCCATGGCATGTACAAAATTTTCCCTATTCCAAACCATGTCTTTTCTGACATTAAAATGTAATTGCAGGAGCATAATTACAAGTAATTGGGAGGAAATTGTATACATATAACTGAAACTGGTATATACTTTCTTAATTGATTAAGATAAAAATATAGGGTATATATATGGTCAGAGGGAAGGATGATGGGGGTTGGGATGATGGATAAAAATGTCAATAAAAAATGTCATCGAAGAGAAGGATGTATTTAAAAAAGAAGGTGCAGACAAAATAAATGTTACATGAAAATGAGGTGTGTATAACGATGAGCACCAATGGAAACTAAGTGTAAGCAAGATGTTGTAATGCTAAAACAATAAAAAATATTGTGGGGAAAAACTGACAATGATTAGAATAAAACAAGAATATTGACATAGTGAAAGAAGTACGATCGCAACCTTTCACATTACTGAAAAATCACATATTCATCAAGTGATACGGAATCATTCCATGTAGAACTAATCCTATGCTATTTTACATTGAGATAAAGAAACGGGCATTATAGACATTATATAATGTTGAAACTGCAGTAGCACATGCAAAATAAACATGCTACTGCCATGGCAATTCACACAGCTGTTTCAGTCTTGGTCAGTTTCAGAACTATAATGGATTACTGATGTAAGTTATGCACAGAAGTAAAACAAACCAACATTAAATATTTGAACTTTGAAGTAAAATACAGTTTGAAAAGCTGCCTCTGTAATATTTTCATAACCTTCTCTTAGCTGAAGCTTTGGCAGACTAGCTGAAATTAAAACAAATCTCCTGAGGGCAACAGCATTGAATTAAAGTCTCTTTTTGCACTGGTGTCTTACTAGATTCATTTTTAAAGTACAGTAGAATCTTGCTTATTCAACCTTCACTCACCCAGCGTTCTGTATTATCCAATGCCTCCCACCCGGATCCACAGTCGTTTCAATATAGTGAAGTTTTGGTGTTAAATTTGTAAATACAGTAATTACTACATAATGTTACCATGTAATGAACTGCTTTTTCTGTCAATTTGTTGTAAAACATGATATTTTGGTGCTTAATTTGTAAAATCATAACGTAATTTGATGTTTAATAGGCTTTTCCTTAATCCCTTCTTATTTTCCAAGATTTTCGCTTATCCAACGTTTTGCCGGCCCGTTTATGTTGGATAAGCGAGATTCTACTGTATATCTAAAATACTATAGCATTTATGAAAACACAGGAATTTGCATTGGAGACACAAGTAGCGGAAAAAATAGGCAGGGTACTTTCTTTCAAGGAGAAGGCACTAAAATGAGTTGCCTTGGCAATATTCATACACCTGGTTATCGGAGCTAGATTATTGTTGTTGTTGTTGTTGTTGTTGTTGTTGTTGTTGTTATTGTTATGTTTAAGTATACCCCAGTTTTTCTCTTCACAAGGATACAAGGGCTTCACCTACATTTTCTTGGCTCACCCAGTTGTACTTTTATCTCTTCTCTTTGTTCCCACCTGCCTACCCCAAACTACGCTCAGTCTTAAAGAAGCTCTCCAAACTCCTAATGCCAATGAAAGAGATAAAGCTGTTCCTATAGCTTTGTGAAACCAAAAACCCTATTAGACACAAAAAGAGGTTTATGCACTTTGTTTCTTTTCTCCCTGAGCATTCCTCTTTATGTGTTCTAATCCATTTTGTTCAACTAACTTACTAGAAGGAGTGATAGCTGGAATGAAAGAGAAAGAACCATGTAGTAGGATGGGTCTCCGTAGGTCAGTGGTCTTCAACCTGTAGGTCCCCAGATGTTTTGGCCTTCAACTCCCAGAAATCCTAACAGCTGGTAAACTGATTGGGATTTCTAGTTGTAGGCCCATACACCTGGGGACCCACAGGTTGAGAACCATTGCCATAGGCCATCACAATATGGTATTTGAGTCTGGAAACATTAGCTTTCTTTGGATTACAATTCCCAGGATATTGCAGACAACAATAGGGATTCTGAGAGTTGTAATCCAAAAGGTAACTTTTCCAGAACTCCAATTCACCTTGAACCAAAGCCCCATGAGCAATCCAACCTGCACACTGAAGCTCCCATGCAAGTAAATGGCATAACAGTACATAACAGTTCCATCATAACGTAATTCACAATCACAGAGCCCTTGCAAAAAACAATTGAAAAGGAAGTCAAAAGAAAATGTAATATCCATTTGACAACAGCAAGAATTAGGTTGCTCTCTGTATTATCCATACTAAAAATAATAAAATTACTGAAAACATCTGCCAGAAGAATTCATTGCTAAGCATAGATGATGTCGTAGAACTGCATAATAAAAGTATGTCAAAAGAAAGTGTAATCTGTTAAGCAAAAGTCATTCCAGTTGCTATATACCCCACAAAACATATGCCACCTCCCTTCATTAAATTACCTTCATTTTCCCACTGTACTTTGGATCAGAAATAGTTTCAAATGCTGCATCTTTGCTAAGTTGCACAAAATCAGGAAATTTGGAAAATACTTCTTCACAAACTCTTCTGATGTGAGCTTCCTATAACAAAATGTACACAATGCAAAAATTATTGAAATAGGACACATTGGCATAACTGTAATTAACACTGGAATGAAAAGGTCTCAAAGAATATTTTAGAAAATAAAAAAGCCAAAACTTTTTATAAACATGTATTTTATAGGGATCTTGTTTCTTCCCAAGGAATTCAAGGTGAACTAGAAGTGCTTTTTCTTTGATCCCTCTCCCCCCACCTCCACACACATACACACACACACACAAACAAACAACAAATTCCATAGGAGATCAAATAGGCTGAGTTTGTGGCTTGGTTACATTTATGCCATGAATAGAGATTTGAAGTCAGGTCCCACCAGTTCAAATTCTAGCTCTTGACTTACTTTACCATGAATCTCATATGGTTCTTTGAGGTTTCCAATACATACACACAAATTAGTGTGCTTCACACAAATTAGTGAGCCATCTTAATGGCTAGGAAACAATGCTAACTGTCAGTCAAAATCTGAGTACCTAATACTATGTGCTGTAGTATCAATACTCAAACCACCCTCTCTCAACTAGAAATGCAGGAATGAAGACATTCATTTCACTGCAATGAGTCACAGCTGAGTAGAGCCCCCTCTAAATTGGCAGCCAAAGGGGAAAGATAAGGGGCAAGCAGTGGTATCTGGAGAAATGGGAAAGGTTGTTTAGCTTGGTAGGAGTGGAAAAAGAACACCAGGGAGAACTTCCTGGCTGTGAGAGCTGTTCAGCAGTGGAACTCTCTGCCCCAAAGTGTGGTGGAAGCCTTCTTTGGAGGCTTTCAAGCAGAGGCTGGATGGTCATCTGTCAGGGATGCTTTGATGCTTCTTGGCAGGGGACTGGACTGGATGGCCCATGAGATCTTTTGCAACTCTTTGATTCTATGACTTGTGCGAAAATCCCCTTATGACATGAAAGCTGGAATCCTATGCATACTTAACAGGGAGTAAGTGGCCAGTGAACCTAGGATTTATTATTGACTAAATCTTCATAAGGTTTTGCTGTAAACGGGTTTTTGCTTTTCCTATAATGTTAACAATACAACTGCTTTGGTTAGCATCTCCCAATTAAAGCTATATACTAATTATATCTTCTCATACCATGGACAAAAGGTCAACCTGTTTCTAATTTGTTAAAAAAATAGTTCTAAAATGTCCTTCTTAAAATAAACTCTCTTCAGTTCTGCAGGTATATGGTGGGACTTTTTATGAGTTTGCATACGAGAATGCATGGTCTTACAAGAAGCCGATAAAATCAATTCCTGGGTCTGTGTTATTTTACTGCTTCTAAATTGTTGTCTCTGTCTGTGTGTGTTTCTATGTGTTCAAAAATAAAAAAAGAAAGGTGAAAGAAAGAGAGAAGTACAGACATGTCTTTCTAGAGCTGTTAGTTCAAGGCCAAAAATGACCGTTATGCGCAATGAACTTAAGCTATCTTCTTTGAAACTTAAGTCCTCTTTAAATCACATGTTTGGAATACCACCCTTTAGGAACAGTACATGACCTTACATGCTGACCTTTAGGGGAATTTTAAGGCTTACTTATTCTAATTTGTATTTGATTCATTTTAATGCACCATGCTTTTAGCTAAAAATTCATCTGTTTTTTGTATCTTATTTGTTAGAATTTATTTGTCATTTTAAATGATATACAAATTTTGTATTGTTTGTAGGATCTGAATATTTATTAAACTTTAATATGTTACGTGATGGTTTTGAAAAGTATCCCATAAATATACAGACCTGTATTATCGTATATGTATAATTGCTTCCTTTCCTCTTGTTTTTGTTTTGTCTTTGTTTTAATTTAGGTGTGAAATACACTATTTTCTGTTAAAATAATCATCAATAAATTCATAAAAAATGAATTTCTAGCTGATTCAGTCTTCAAGAGAGCCTTCAGGTCTCTTGCAGTAAAAATGTTCTCAGGTAATCTACTGCTTTAGATGAGCATATACACTGTCTTCTATCCCTAAAGATCTACTACCTCTTTAAAGTTAGAAAGCTTCAAATCACCAGATTGGACACTTGAGTTACAGAAGCATAGATTTCTTATCAAGAGATCCAGTTTGAAAACTACAGTGATCAGAGCAAAACAAAACAGGCAGTCTTATAGACAGGTTCTGCCCCCATTGTTCTCCAGCACTCCTTTTCTCCTTTACACAAAACATTCCACAAGCAGAGAAACAGAGAAGACTAATGTGAAGGCTAGCTGCCCCTTTTCAAGCTGGGAAAAGGGGTTGAGCACAATAGAGTCTGCCTGTTATGTCTCCTTCTCTCCTGCATTATAGTAAAGAAGGGAAGATAGATGCAGAAATTAGAATCTGTCAAGTGTGTTACTGAGCAGTGCCCAGACAGAAAAAGAAAGAGACAAATGAAGATTTGATCAAAGATTTGGAGAACAAGCCCTGTGAGAAGCAGCTAAAAAAGCTGGGCATGTTTAGAAATGATGCCATATTTAGTGAACAGCATATTCTCATAACAATTTTAATAGAATGGATAACTAGCAAGGCAATGAAATTAAGAGTCAGCAGTAGGCTGATACTTCTACAGATTATGACTGGTCAGGAAAACTTAAGGAAACTAACCTGCTGTTTGCTAGTGTTGTCTGTTTGTAACAGGCCAGTGTGGTTAGCAATCTTACGAAGGATTGTGAGATAGCTGAAATACAATGCTTGCATCGTTTCACCATGGACATTTGTCTATAAAAACATAAATAAATAATCTTTGAATAATCAAAGGATTGAACCATTTTACAATTATATCTCAGGAGATAGATACATACCACCAAGTTCATAATTTGAGTTTCTTTCTTCCCCCTAAAAAACATGTTTCTGAAATCAGGAGGAAAATTTGAGTTCTAGAAATGTGCCTCAAACCTAACCGAATTAAGCATATACTATAATTTGCTATCTCTCAAACATTACATAGGTAGTTAAAAAACATTTAATTGATCCTTTAATAATAATCAAAGACAAGAAATATATATTTATTTTATGAAGAACCGATGACATCAGTTTACTTTCCAAACTTTGCAGATCATAACATATCTGGCAGCCATGGCCACACAAACACTGTGCAAATTACGTCTGCTGCCCAAAGGCCTGGTCCCAAAACCACTTTTTTTTCCAGAAAGCCAGGAGGGATGGAGTTGATCTTATTTCATTTGGGAGTGCATTCCATAGGCAGAGGGCCACAGCCGAGAAGGCCCTGTCTCTTGTCCCCACCAAACACATTTGCGATGTTGACGGAAGCAACACAATGTGGATCTGTTGCTTCTATGTCCTCCAGGAATTAGACAAAACTACTTTTTAAAACCAGTGTCCTAAACCAGTACTAATGTCAACTGCAAGAGATTAATGACTTATTTAAGATTTGATTAAATTCTCTAGTTGAGACTGGCAACAGTCCATAGGCCAGTGTTTTTAAGTTTAAATACTGCTATTCTCATCATAACATAACATCTGAAAGATTTCAGGGTGAAGAAAGACTTGAAACTAATCACGATTTGCTTTTTTATTTAAGGAAATATTGCATTAACTTGTCTACACATGCATCAGGACTGACTTGCATTAAAATGAAGTGTAAAAGAGATAATGCAGCCCTTAGAAATGTAGTAAGACTTCAGGTTGTAGGTTGTACATCATTAAAAGAAATTAAGTTATAAAATGACTAAATATATAAATGAAATAAGTGGGATATTACAATTGTAAGGCTTTCCACCATTTTTGGAAAGTCACTGTAACAGAAACCCATCAGGTAAGCTACCTGATCTATCATGCTAGGCTTGTATGAGTTTTTTTACTTGGAGAAAGCTTTATACCAGTGGTTCCCAACCTTTTTTTGACCAGGGGACACTTGACCAGGGACCAATTTGGCCAGGGACCACTCTCCAAAATTAGTACCAAAAGGGTTACGAAGCAGTTTCTGGTCAACTTTAGATTCAGTTTGGTTATTTGGGGTGCTGATTCAGAAAATTGCATTGGATAGACCACATCAGCTCTAGTTTCTGATACAGAACATATGCCATCCAGTAGTCGTTATCTGCTCACCCACAAAAAACCATATTTAATAATCTTCTAGAGACAAAGACCTTATTTTAGGTCTCGAGACCCACCAGTGGGCTGCAGTCCACAGGTTGAGAACCACTGCTTTATACATAGGAGACCATTCAAAATGACAGCTCTACCTGCTCCTAAGATATCACAGCCTGTTTCGCCATCTCATTCTATGTTATGGACAGAATTGGCCTTAGGATATGTGATAAGAACTGAATGAAAGGAGTGCAGCACTAAAAATATCTCAGTAACCTTAAATCTTTCCATGTCAACATATCTTGAGTGAAACTGAATTTGCACAAGATTTAGATCAATGAAACAAGTGGGAATGATAAAGCCTCCCAGTTTCTATGTAAGAGTACTGCCCCTAACCCATTCTCTCCTCTGTACCTAACAAATTCCCTTATTTGTTGAAAAACTGGAAGGTTAAGTGGTAGATTTTAATTTCTTAAGATACTATTTTAATTACCTTATATTAATTTGTATTCATAACAAGACACGGAAATATAGCTTAAATATGTATAAACTCATTATAAATGAGTGCACTCACTATTGCACTGTGGACACTGTGGGTCAATTCTTCTATGTGTTCTCAATTGCTTTATTACTGTACTGGCAAATCCTATGACCAGCAGTGCCTCCTGCTATCCCTGATGGCTCACTGCCCTTCCTTCTTTTTAGCTACTATATACTGTTGGGCCCTCCTGCCCATATCACCATGGATCTTTCCTTTCTTTTTGAAATATTGAATACAGCATTTAAATTGCTGCAGAAGGTAACAATAAGTTTGGTTGGCTGGGCAGGAAAAGAAAAACTGATGGGAAGGGAAGAAAGGGGCAAAATGAGAATGTGGTCCTCCTGTGTCACAGTTGGCAGGAGACCCCAACAACATAAGTGGATTATTCCTCCATGCCATCCCAAGAATGCCAACATGTCAGCACTTGATGATCTGCAGAATTGTACACCTCTCTTAGCTACTCAAACCATAAACGTAACTTGACATGCTCCCCTCAGACACTGATTCCCCAGCAAGTAACCTCAATGCACTGCCAGAACTGATCACACAGATTCTTCCTGTGCCACCAAAAGAGGCAACTGAAGATCACTCAGTAACAAGGGAATACATGAGTAGAAACAGAATTTATGAGAGTGCCTAAATAGGCAGACCAGATGCATAATGCTCAAATAAAGCACCTGATAGCAACATACATCTTCCTGTATGTAAAAGTATTTTCCAAGTGCAACCATTTCCTCACCAGAAGGACTTCCACAACTCCATAATACACTGTAACTGAACTTTTGGTGGCACACTGGCAGCTTTTGCTTTGAAGTCTTGGTTTCAGGCTAGAGGACAGTTCTAAACATGGCCAGATTATTAATGATTCAATTTTAGCAAATATTATAAGCCTCTTGGTTTAGGAACCTTTTTCCTCTGGTTAGTTGTGTTTAATTCCTTTTCCACATGTATTTGAAAAGAAATCTATAATTTAGGAAACCCTAAGCTATTTTAGATTCAGTTCACCAGAGAACACTGTAAACATAATAGCATATTGCTACCTTACACCATTTTATCAATAGAGACTTAACATCCGGGCACAATTCAAAGTGCTGGCTTTGGCCTATAAAGCCCTAAACGGCCCCAGCCAATTTACCTGTCCGAACGCATCTCCCTCCATGAACCACCGCGGAGATTAAGATCTTCTGGGGAGGCCCTGCTCTCAGTCCCACCACCATCACAGACGCGTTTGGCGGGGACAAGAGACAGGGCCTTCTCAATAATTGCCCCTCGGCTATGGAACTCCCTTCCTAATGAGATCAGGTCAGCCCCCTCCCTCTTGTCCTTTAGAAGGATGATAAAAATGTGGCTTTGGGACTGTGCAATGAGGCAGCGATAGGAACCTCTAGTATGCTATCCAAATTCAATATGGTTGTTGAAACAGTTTTAACTAGTGGATTTTAATGTTGAGATATATGATTTTAATGCTTTTGTATGTGTATGGTATAATATGTTTCGGCATTGAATGTTTGCTCTTTATATGTTGTGCTCCGCCCTGAGTCCCCTTCGGGGTGAGAAGGGTGGAATATAAATGCTTTAAATAAATAAATAAATGTTTTCTGGAACCTCTGCAGATATTGAGAATCTACTCTACTTTCAAGTATGATAAAAAGCCTATCCAAACATATAGGAACAATCTTGTAACAGATTCAAGCTTTTAAAATGCTTTTTGTAGTTTGTATAGCCGTATAGTTTCACGTGCATTAAGTCCAAATTAAAAAGAAAAACATTAGAGAATCAAAAACACCAAACAGACAAAGGAAGCAGACATAAATATGTCCCATGTCATTATCTGTACACTGACTCCAGCCCTTTGGAGATACATGAGCAAAAATTTATTTATTTATTTATTTATTTATTTATTTACTGCACTTGTAGACCGCCGTTCTCAGCCCTAGGGCCAGTGAAGACAAATAGGACATTGAAGAACAGGTGCTACAATAAAAAAAAAAACCACTGCTGCTAACAATACAAATAATTCTTACTTTGTAACAACAGTTCTTCCTTTTGCGGCCACTGCTGCAGCTACAAGGTTTACGTGCTTGTAGCACTAAGCGTACATCTTCTGTTTCCAATACGGCTTTATAAACAGCTCTCTGGAACTCAGTCAGAGAACAGTATACCATCTGGCAAAATAATATACAAAAGAGCACAAAAGAAAACACACATATAAATGTTAAAATAATATCACAAACAAGAACAAAATGGTGAGAGTGATCAACTGTTTTAACACAGTGCAATTCAATGAATGTTCTGTTTTTGAAAAATAAAGGGATGGGCTTTGGAAATATAAAAATGATCATGGTCAGTAACTCTCTTCTATTTAAATTATTCAATCTGTTTAGAATAGAAAAGATATATTGTAACATTCACTCTCGAACTGAGGCTGGTACGAGCAGACTGTGAAAGAAAACGATTCAAATGCCTAACCCTAAGACTAAAGATTCTGCATCACTTAAAAGATCTATTTGCCGTTTCTTGGCACTAATTATTGTAGAGCCCTAATGCAGACAGAATGAATAAAAGGAAACAGTCAATTCTGAAGGCTGACATTCTGAATTGGTGGTATAGGCGGGAGGGAGCTCTGTACAGTGGTATGACAAACCTTATCCGTCCTCTTAAAGACCATGGGTGGCATCTCCATGACATCTTTTGGTCTAAACCAGCAGGATACAGAAATCCCAAGATCACTTCTGAATTTAGACCACCCACAAAGCAGCAGCACCATGCTGTGCTATAATAATCCAATGGTATCTTGAACATATACTCACATTATCAAGAGAATGGAGCAAAATAAAAGCTCCTAGATTAAAGGCAACCGAGTGACATTGCTGTTAATCTTCTCTTTAGAAAACACAGTTAGTCCACAGCATTATTCCGAGCTTTGGCAGAAAGACAGGAATAAACAAGAAGGGAACAGCAGCAGACTGGTGTGTATCTTTATTAAAACTATGTGAAATTGTGTGCTCTCTAAAATGTATTCTTGCACTCATCAAAACATTTTAGCCAAACTGAAAAGCATGCATTCTTTCATTAGCATGTGTTCTATCTGCCAAGCCCAAACAAAGTTTTCCTTTTAACAGCTCATAACTAGCTTTTTATCAAAGAAGTGAAAGTATGAGAACAGAAAAGCTTTGGTGAAATACTGAAAGCATACATTTACAAAAAAATCAGTCTTTTTTTAGAGGTTTTCAAGAACTAAATCAGACCAACTCAGTTTTATATCTTATTTAAACATTTCATTATATAGTGGCCAACAACATCAAAAAAAAAGTCTAAAATAATTGTGTGCAAATTTCAAAAACAGTCAGTTACCTAAAACCATTGTTCTTCCCACTTAAGGGACTGTGCATACACAGACCACTATTCAGGCCTTCAGGAAGTCCCTAGGAGACAGGAAGCACTGGTTCCTTTCCCAGCCCTATACATGCCTTACATGGATGCAAATGTTCTTACATAAAGAATGATCACATATATATTTCATATAACATAACCATGGGTTGTTGTAGGTTTTTTTGGGCTATATGGCCATGTTCTAGAATGCCTCTAGAACATGACCAAATAGCCTGAAAAAACCTACAACAGCCCAGTGATTCCGACCATGAAAGTCTTCGACAATAGCACGACCATGGTCCTTTGGGTAGTTTTCAAATGGCTTCCCTCAGAGAGGGTTGGGAAGGGAAGACCATGCCACACAACGGCAAGTAAATGTAGAACAATGCAGCCACCTCAGCTGGTTCAAAAGACTCAAGCTTGTCAAGAAGAGGACAAATGTGAACGACAATAGCACAAATGACTTGTGTACCATCCAAAAATATGATATTCATTGCTTTGTGGAAATGGAAGGAAGACACAGTAAATTCGAAACACCCCGTTACAAGAGGAAGAAAAAACACACAAAGGACTCAAAAGTCTGAACTGAGCACAAAGTATGGAATTTGGAATTATGCGCAGTTGCAAATGAGTTTGCAGCTATCCTAGCCAACACTCACAGAGGTGAAATACTGACTGCACAACTTGTGAACAAAATTGGTGGTATTAGGTTCTTCCAAAACATGAATGGCAAGAAAGCACATACACTTCATACTAATCACAGGTCCTTCAAATTAGTCATGTCACTGATTAGGACAGGAAGTTAGAGCTCAGTTATCTCCCCATCTGTAAATATGCTGTTGCTGCTAGGTCTTCCTTTTCCACTGCCTCAGAGCCTTCACTAAGTTTTCCTTACAAAAATTTTATCTCTTCAGTAACATGCTGCTACTCAGACATCCAACTTCTGTCTTCCAAATATCAAAAATGTTATTGGAACAATCACAACAGTTTTTGAAGAGGCCTCCATTCACCAAGGAAGCAAGAGACTAAAGGAAGGAAAATGAAGTCCAACCTTTTAATAAAAAGTGGCCTCTGCAGAGAAGTCCTCTTTTGCCTGCATTAAGAAAGATCTCAATGCTTGTAATTCTGTTGGGACACCACGCTAATATAAAAATAGTTGGAAAACAGTTGTACTTTCTGAAAAGTTGCACCAATGTGGTCCCTAATGTAGCCAATTATTCTACTAACACATACACAGCTTTGTCTCACTTCTGACTTGCTGAATGAGGATTTAATCCTTCAAGGTCATAGCAAATGTTTTATGAACATTTGTGCAACTCCTGAGTGTATTTACACTGTGTCGAAAGTGTATAACTTCTTGGCCATTGTTTCTACGTTTTCTCAATAGAGGTAATGCTTAATGCAATTGAGAATGAGGAGTCGAATCTTGCCCCTGCATCACATGCAAGGCACACTGCTGCACATGAATGGGAAGGAGAGGAACAATGAATCCAATCTTCCAAAGTGTAATCATTCATGAGTTTAACTTTTTCAGATATGATTATTAATGGACTTGACCAATACGTTTTCTCAGGGAATCTCTAGGTACTCCAGCATGACTCTATGGTCAACTTTGCTGGTGGTTGACTACAAAATCGCACTAAAATGTAGAGATTCCTAGAGAGGTGTTATTTCAGGTAAAATAAATTAGATTTTATTCACATTTTTCCACTTTGGTGGGGAGTCTTGTATCCCTAATCTCACAAAACACGGAAGGCCTATAATATTCTAAAAAGCCCTGCATACAGCAGTCACATATTTGGAAGTACACTGAACTTAGAGAGAATTCACAATAACCAATATTAAACATTATTGTTACAAACCAATTTTAACAATCAAGAGACAATCATGTTCTTCACTAAATCCACCCCTATTTATTTCCTGAAGTGCGAATGTGATGGAGTTCCCTCACTAACTAAAAGGTGCCACCAATGAAGCTTTCTCACCAATTATTGTATCTACAACAAGCCAAATTTTGTTCATAACTTGGAGACTGCCTGCAATTGACAATTCTAATAAATAAATTGTAATTAATAGTTCTTACTCTATCTTCCTTCTTGGGCAGCTGATCGTTAATAAGAGCCTTTGTACGCCTTAAGAAGTAGCTAGACATTTGTTTAGCTAATCTTTGCATTGCCTTACGGCCAGTGGCTAGTTCTCTTTTTGTGGCAGTGTGCCGCTGGCCATGCTCTACTGGATCAGAAAATTCCTTCTTAAAACGTGCTTCATTCCCCAAAAGTCCAGGTACAGCCCTGAGAGAAGAGAGAAAGACAGCAGTAAATATATGATTTATTCAAGGTGTTACTATTTGTTTATGAAGCTCCAAACATGAGACTTATTTTGTAAAAAAATATAAATTATGCATATTGCTATCTTCCATTTGGGAATTAACCTATGATGCAACTTTCAGAGAGTAAGGTAAAAGTAAAGGTTTCCCCTGACATTGAGTCTAGTCGTGTCTGATTCTGGGAGGTGGTGCTCATCTCCATTTCTAAGCCAAAGAGCTGGCGTTGTCCGTAGACGCCTCCTAAGTCATGTGGCCGGCATGACTGCATGGAGCGCCATTACCTTCGCACAGAAGTGGTTCCTATTAACCTACTTACATTTGCATATTTTCAAATTGCTAAGTTGGCAGAAGCTAGACTAACAGTGGGAGCTCACCCCGCTCCCCAGATTCAAACTGCCAACCTTTTGGTCAGCAAGTTCAGCAACTCAGTGGTTTACCTGCTGCGCCACCGGGGGGGGCCTAAGTCCCAATTAATTAGTTTATAAGTAGGCCTATATAGAATCATTCTTTAAACCTCCATGCATATCTCTTATATATTCATTTTCAGAGCTCTCTGCACACAGTTTTGTTAAAAATCAAGGGTTACAGAAGTGTTTCTATATGCATGGAAACGTAATGCTGAAACATTCATAAGGCCAGCACACCATGATTTTACTACGTGTGTAGCCATCACATTAGAAATTGGCTCCACAGACTGACCTTTGCATTAGTTGTATTAAGCCCAAACGATGTTGTCATCATTGCCTGTTTACCACAGTAGGAGAATACTAACTAGAAACAGATAATCAATGTATCTACTACTCCAATGACAATCCTTAATAATGTAATAATCTCCTCTAAAAGCGATGCCAGTAAAATCTGGTTCACCTGTTTCCCATGGGTGATACACATCCAAGGAATATATAAAGCATCAATTAAGGCAAAGTGTTTTTGGAACAATATATATTGAGATAAGACCTGTTTGGCAAAAGTTTGTTAATTGAATGGATGTATCAATAAAATTAAGTTTTAAACAGTAAAATCTGGTTCAACAACAACAGCAACAGCAACAGGAACCAAAACATGCATTTGAATTCCCAGTAGGGTTTTGTTCACTGTGTTGTTAAAAGGCATATAATATTCATTCAAATCTATGACCTCAGAGGTGAACAGAATAACGTTCACACATTACACACAAATGAATGTATATTATTTACTACTCCATAAATATGTGATAAGAACTGTTTCCAGTGTATTCTATGGCGCCCCCAGTGGCGCAGTGGGTTAAACCTCTGTGCCGGCAGGATTGAAGACCGACAGGTCGCAGGTCCGAATCCAGGGAGAGGCGGATGAGCTCCCTCTATCAGCTCCAGCTCCTCATACGGGGACATGAGAGAAGCCTCCCACAAGGATGATAAAAACATCAAATCATCCGGGCGTCCCCTGGGCAACGTCCTTGCAGACGGCCAATTCTCTCACACCAGAAGTGACTTGCAGTTTCTCAAGTCGCTCCTGACACGACCAAAAAAAAAAGTGCATTCTATTGGAACATAATGCACTTTCTACAGTCTTATGAACCAGAAGGTTGTGACTGGTTTCCCTGTAGTTGTGCCTTACAGATCAATACAATGCAATATACAACTATCATGTGCTCGGAATATATTTAAGTGGCCTTAAATGTTCCAAATATTCGGTCCCCTCTTGCAACATACCAGTCCATGACACACCAAAGTTCCTTCATATTATTCTGCAGAATTGTCCCAGTAAGTCCAAGCCGAACCTTACATGTTAGAGCCTTCATTGTCTGAGTTATTTGAGCCTTCGGATTTTTGATTCTGTGGACTTCATCTACAATGACAGCTGACCACTCTAGGCTGTGAAGCAGGAAATACTGATAGTTATCATACAAAACTTTGTCCTAAATCAATTGTCCATTCATATTACAGAAGACCGATCAATCAATGGATATCTGATAAATGAATACTTAGATTAACCAGGCTTTGGTTACATCCCGTTTAGATTACTGCAACGCTCTCTACGTGGGGTTGCCTCTGAAGACTGCCCGGAAGCTGCAGCTAGTCCAACGCTCGGCAGCCAGACTACTAACGGGTGCTGGGTACAGGAAGCACACCACTCCGCTGTTACACCAGCTCCACTGGCTGCCAATTAGCTTCCGAGCACAATTCAAAGTGCTGGTGTTAACCTATAAAGCCCTAAACAACTCCGGCCCTGTTTACCTCTCCGAACGTATTCTCCCCTATGAACCATCAAGGTTATTAAGATCGTCTGGAGAGGCCCTGCTCTCGGTCCCACCGGCCTCGCAAGCGCGTCTGGTGGGGACGAGGGACAGGGCCTTCTCGGTGGTGGCCCCTCGACTCTGGAACTCTCTCCCACCGGAGATCAGAACCGCCCCTTCTATCCTGACATTCAGGAAGCAGGTGAAGACGTGGTTATGGAGACAGGCATTCGATGAGTGAGCCAATACCCTGAGATATGGATGGAGGATGATGAACATCAAATTTAGTGGGACGACTGACCATTGTATTTATTGAATGTAATTGCTGTTTTGCTGTTTTAATGTTTTAATGTTTTATTGCAATATGAAGTATGATGTTTTATTGACTGTATATATATTATGGTTGGAAACCGGTCTGAGTCCCTCAAGAGAGGTGAGAAGGTCGGTATATAAAACTTTTAAATAAATAAATAAATAAATTTCATTAAGTAGGTCTACTATGGCTGGATTTAGGATAGCCAATGGTGAGGAAGCTAGTTCCATGACTGTACGTAGGTCAGCAGTACTGCTGAACTACAACTCCAAGCACTTCCCATGAGTTTACTTACAATTACAGTCCAGTAATATCAGTAATAATATCAATATCATGAGAGCTGAACAGTTTTCACCTAAATCTAGATTAGATGTATTTCCCAAATAAACAAAAGAACTGAACACAGTAAATGAAAACTTCCATGGCTGCTAAGGAATATTTTATTTTTTAAAATATTCATGGCACATCTTATATAAAAGATTTCTGGCCAACTTGCAATATAGTTTACATCCTTGGCTTTACTCAGTCACAGGAGGCAAACCAGGAAATAGAGAGCCACCTGGATACCAGTTTGAAGCAGTATTATATCACCGTGTAGAATCGCCCTTAGCTTTCCTTTACATCCATATTTCAATCACCTTTGCAGAGGTTAATTGACACCTGCTTCTTCCAATTAATTGCCTCCTTATTTTTAACAGCTACTTGGTAGATAAGTGCAACATAGTGCACCTCATAATGCAAATAGTTTTATCTATTCAACCCAGCCACAACAGATGAGTGAGGATTTGAGATTTAAGGCATTCAAATGTATGAGAAAGTAAAAGTTATAAATGTGAACACTCTCATGCCCAATAGTACATTAAACAGTCATAAGAAGTATGGGCAGTCCCTGAGTTACAAACATCCAACTTACAAATGACTAATAGTTATGAATGGGGTGAGACAACAGGAAATGAGATAAATCTACCCCTAAGGAGGGAAATTCACTACTGGAAGAGTTATCATGGGGGGAAAGTGTCTCCACTGAAGCTTTGTCACCAGTAATTGCTTCCACAACAAGCCAAAATGTTCAAAATCCAATTCTCACAGGAACAGAAAGAGAGGTGGAATCTTCTGAACAGGAGCACAGAAAGCAAAACAAACACCACAGGGGTGTTAACCCTTCCCTATACGATCTAAAGATGAAATATATACATTTTTGGCTAGAATTATACTTTAAAAATGTATGTGTTTGACTTATATTCAAATTCAAATTACAAATAAACCTACATTACCTATCTTGTTTGTAACTTGGGGACTACCTGTACTAAGTAGCTACACCAATCATTCATGGACTAGAAATGGGTGATTTGAAGAGGATGAGTGCAAAACTATATTACATTTGCAGCCGTAATTCACATTTGAGTGATTTATTCTTTATGGTATTGAGGTGGATGTTCATTCTAGCACATTCATTAAAAAAACAAACTTTGGATTATCAAGGATACTATCTTTAATCAAAGCTCTAACATTTTACATTTTCAAAAGATCATAGCCTTGAGTATACTGCCGAAAGTTCTTAGAAGGAAATACCCAATATCAAACATCATTCATTCAGAAATAATAAGGTGAAGGAAGGAAAGAATTCACCAGAAAAGGATCTTTCTAGTCCAAAGAAGTCTTTGTATAACTAATTCTCTAATTCTCTTCGTGATATACATGTTTACCACACAGCTGGCACATGTGGTAGGTATTATTCTATATTTATTGGTACAACTAAAATTTTTGAAAACAGGGTCAAATCCAACCAACTCTGTCAGTCAGTGAAACTGATGCTATTGGGAGAATGGATTCTTCTTCTGAGCCTCCCAAAATCTGCTCTATGAGTCGATCAACTGGAGTAGATGAGGACAAGAAGAGAAGATGGAGTGGAGAAGAAGGGATAATCAGAACATAAAGTCAACTTGGAAAAGTTCTTTTTTCTGAATGTTGCCATCCTGACAGTGACCAAGCCAATGGAGGGGGATATTCACATAATACTAGACAGAGTATTTTTACTGTGAGATCATTTAATCCACATATTTCAACTGACTTTGTGTGTTCAGTATTATCACTTTTTTGAACATGTTCTTCTCATGTTCTCTTTAAATGACCTCAATGATTTGTTATTCTGATTTATAAGGCTCTTAGGTTGTTAAAAGAAATATCCTCTATATTCACAGCAATTGGATAATTCTGTTACCTGTTAAGTTCATCTAAAAAAAGGCGAAGTGTTTCGTATGTTGTTAGTGCAATCTCACATTTTCCTTGCTTGATTCGATTCAGTTCATAGTCTTTTTTATTGCCATGCAAAACTATAACCTTGAAATAGCCCCAAGTATCCAATTCATCTTTCCAATTATAAAGCACAGAGAGTGGCGACACAATCAAGAAGATCTGAAAAGAAAAACACATGATACTGCTGCTGGCCAAATGTAAAACACATCAGAATACAAAATTCCCACACAGTTGCATTCAGTTGGGTGAAATATGAAAACCTATACTTTTCAAAAAATTCCAACTAGTGAAAAGCAAAAGAGAAACATTACTTCAATAAGATATTGTTAGTATTTCAAAAGCATGGAAAACATTGCTTTGCATTCATATCTGGCTTATTCAAAGAGATGTTTTGAAAAACAGAAACCATTAGCTATATACTGACATCTGCCAGTTGACATAACTCCCAATTTTTGCAATCTAAAGCAAAGGACAAAGACAAAGATATTAGGCTGGTAATGTTCGGTGAAAATAATTTTAGTTTTAATTTCCCATTAGCTGAAAATATATGTACATATCTTCTCAGTTATATTCCCTTAGTTTTCTTTTCCATGCCCGTCTTAACAGTCTTTAGACACTGCTCTCAATAGAGTAACACCCAATTTATAAAAATCCAGTATAGCATTAACATGAAAACACCATCTGCAGCAATATTCACTCTGGTGACTGGTTTCCACCTGGTTAGTAGCAAAGGTAAACACAGTCATCTTTACAATTCTCTGGTGGTGCATCTATACTGTAGAATCAATGCAGTTTGAAACCATTTTAAGTGCCATGGCTCAATTCTATAGAATCATAGGAGGTGTAGTTTGATGAGGCACCTTTTTGGCTGAGAAGACTAAAGATCTGCAAACCTACAACTCCCATAGAATTGAGCCATTACAGTTAAAATGGTATCAAACTATATTAATTCTACAATGTAGATAATAATAATAATAATAATAATAATAATAATAATAATAATACTTTATTAATATTCCGCCTTATCTCCCCAAGGGGACTCAGAGCAGATTCCAGCATACACAAACACAAAGGTAAACATTCGATGCCTAGAAACAACCAAACACAGATAAAGCTAAAGGCTTCCCCTTCCAGCTCTGAGGGGTGGTGCTCATCTCTGGCTCTGGGTGGTGGTGCTTATTTCCATTTCTAAGCCGAAGAGCCTGCATTGTCGTTGACACCTCCTAGGACATTTGGCCGGCATGACTGCAAGGAGAGCCAATACCTTCCTGCCCAGGCGGTGCCTATTGATCTACTCACATTTGCATGTTTTCAAACTGCTAGATTGGCAGAAGCTGTGGCTAACAGCAGAAGCTCACCTCATCCCGCAGATTCGAACCACCAACCTTCAGGTCAGCAAGTTCAGCAGCTCAGCAGTTCAACCCATTGCACCACTGCAGCCCCTAGATGCACCCTGGAGGATCATTGTGCAGTATCTGTTCTTAGTCGTTTGTGAAAATTATGCACAATGTATGATTCAATGCACAATTCATACAAAAACCATTGTAAAAGACACAATTCACATGTGGTTTATATTAGCTCACATATTACTGGGTCAGTAAGCTGTGTAAATTGTAGAAATTAATCATTTCTGTAGTAGATCTTTCCAATAGGATTGAATACAAGGCCTTAACCATGGTAACAATCATAAATTTAACTTTAATCCAGGTTTCCTTTTGGAAATGCAGAAAGGAACAAACATCCCTTAAAAACATAACATCCATTGGTGTGATTGCCACCACTCCCTGTGTGGTTTTCAGAATGGCTTGGCAATACACTCAGGAGCAAAATACAATTCAGCACGTAAAATCAGTTAGATGTTGCACTATTTAACAAAACCCACTCAAACACAGTGCCAGCAAGGAGAAAATCACAATCGGCACGAAACAGATACTTTCCCCCTTCTCTATATTAACTGGCACCTTTAGCCATCTTGAATCTTGTTGCAGGAACTATACTTCTACTTCCTCTGGGAGCAAAAAGGTCAATTTTGGTATTTTTACACATGTTATTTCACATGCTTCAAGATGGTATCAGCTTGCAGAATACTCATTGCAACATATTCTTTTCCTGCTATGAAAAAAATGCCAACTGAAATAAAAACCCTTACTAACTGAATTTCTGCCTCCCAAAATGCATGAGTAAATGTAAATATTTCTCTAAGTTTTCTTAATGTTTCTTCAGATACAACATGTATCTGAATTTAGATCCATTATATTCTAGATATGCGGGTTGCTTCAAATGCAGAATATCTATCCTTTTCTTGCATTCCTAGCAAGGCACAATAGGATGTGCTGTATTTGATTACAATTTTGTAATGGGGAACCAAGTGCTCTGCATTCTACGATAATGTGTACGTTTTAAATAAGGACAAATACGCATTATACAACACACCACAAGAGTAGTTGTATCCTCTGACTCTACTTCTTCCATGATCTTGTGGAAGCTTAAGCTGAATCTCTTGTTCCTATTTTCCAGGTCCTACAGTTTTAATATAAATGAGTGAGCAAAGTTTTGTAATTTTGCATTCTTGGTGAAAACCGAGATCAAATTTATTTATTTATTTATTTACAGTTTTTCTATTCCGCCCTTCTCACCCCGCAGGGGACTCAGGGCAGATTACAGTGTACACATATATGGCAAACATTAAATGCTAATTTTTGACATATACAGACATAGACAGAGGCTATTTAACTTTTTCTGGTCACCAGGGGAGCTGTCGCTTTCATCGTCCATCTGCGACACTGATGAAGTACTTCCGCATTCCCCGCATGCTTTTGCTGAAGTCTTTATGGCCTCATAAATTAGTTAGTTTAGCCTCCCCACACTTTAAGGTGGTACCTTATTTTCCTACTTGACAGATGCAACTGTCTTTTGGGTTGAATAGATCAATAAATACCACTCCAGTGGGAAGGTAATGGTGCTTCATGCAGTTATGCTGGCCACATGACCTAGGAGTCATCTACAGACAACACCAGCTCTTCGGCTTAAAAATGGAGATGTGCACCATCCCCCAGAGTCAGACTAGACTTAAAGTCAAGGGGAAACCTTTACCTTTTTATAGTCTCATATGATGCAGTTTAACTGAACTGAACTGCATTATATGAGCTTATAGTGACCATATAATGCAGTATAGATGGGGCCCCCAATGTTCACATTCTCCTGCGTTATGCTATGCCTTTAAAATAATGAAAGGTCTTGCATATAATTCTAATTTTCAGAAATTGAACGCTCTAAAGATTTGCTCCTGGGGCCATTCTGGCTAACTACCTACATAATTAATCACTTTAAATTAATTACTGTATGAGATTTTATAGGCTTCATTCCAAAGAAACATTAATGAAATTGCTCTTTGTAGAGGGAAAATAACTCTACAGAATAGAAAGATTCTAAGATTATTTTTATTAGCAACTGTACTGTGTTTTAGGTCACATTTAATTTCCATGCAGATCTCAGATTTCTATATTACATGGTAGTAATTTGCACTGAAATATAAATCATTTCACAGAGTACTGATCAGTTTCAGGACTGCCTTAATACTAGTCTGTTAAAGCTTTCTACGGGTGCAGTGTTACCTACGCCTACCCAGGACGAAGTGCCCCTGAGCTATATGGGTTTTACTTCCAATATAATTGTCTCTTAGCTATAAGGCCCCTCCCACACTGCTGAATAAAATCCCACATATCAGATTAGAACTAGAATAGAGTGGACTCAGGCCTCTTCCACACAGCTGAATAAAATCCCACATTTTTTTTGCTTTGAACTGGAATCTTTGGCAATGTGGATTCAGATAACCCAGTTCAAAGCAGATATTATGGGATTTTCTGCCTTGATTTTCTGAGGGCCTTTCCACACATCAGAGCTAACATTTCCAGAAACTTTCATTTGTAACCAGGAAAACTCTTCTTTGAGACAGACACAGATGTATTTTAAATGCCACTAGCTGTTACCTACAGCTCCCAAGTGAAGCATCTCAAATCTCAAATGCATCATCTATGAGCTACAACCTATTCTGAATAATAAAAATGCCTACTCACAGGCCTTGCATGGCAAGTACTTTTCTGCACAATATATATGTGTGTGTGCACGCGCAAGTTTCTTCAAAAAAAGCCATATTTTTGTGTATTTTTTAAAAATGTCTCAAGTGTGAAACTGAGGGCTGATTTGAAGCAACAGAAGACACTAGCCAAGTTTATACTGATATAACAGTCCTAACCAAAATTACACAGATTTGATTCAGGGTTTTAATTAGAAAAATGTAGTGAGTGAGCCACATTCCCCACTTATTTTCACCCACCTCCAAGAGCCCCACAATTGAAAAAACATTCAATGTAAAAAAAAACTGATTAATATAAAAATGTAATTGGTGGTCTTTCTGCCAGAAGTTGAAGACCTTGCTTCTGATCCAGGCTTTTGAGTATTCACTGTCTTTAACAAAAGGTCTTTTAATCCAGGGTGTGCACTGCATTCTTGTAATTATTATATTTTTACTGCCTTTTACAAAAATGCTTTAATAAGATTATTCTGACTTAACGATTGTTTTAATGTTTATATTACCTGTGGTTACACTGTGTTTTGTTTTAACTCATATCACAAGCTGCATGATTCACATTCTGAAAGAAAACTTTTATTAAAGTAACCTATCACTGTGCCCCTTCAAAATATGCTACCACCCTTAGTTAATCTCAAAGAAGCTACAAGATACCTTTGCATACAGAAGCAATCTAACAGGGCTGTGCCTATAAATCCTAAACTTTGGCAACGTGAAATCTTCATTAAATGATCTGAAGCCTGATCAGACCATTTATGCCTCAACAGGCCCACAGAAGGCAGACAAGATGTTTTAAATAGCCCCTATGCCATTCTTTCACAGAGGTTTCAGAAAAGGCTAGCACAGGATCCAGCAGCTCTCACAGAAATTTACTGATCACAGACTCCACCAAGAGAATCTCTGAAGTGTCTTATTGTTCAAACTGTTTGTCAGGGTGGACCATATTCTATAGACTATGGTGAGGAGCAAACAGAGCCTCAATTTGAAATAGCAGCAACAATTCCCACTTTCTTTCCTACATTTGGACAACATGTCAATAGTGGAAACTATGATCCAGAGAACCTGATACACATTGTATCTATTCCACATCACCTTCAAAATGTGCTTAAATTCAAAACTTACTTTCTTTGAAACAGATGATGTTTCATTTTTCATTGTTCTTAAAAATTCAGGCATATTATTTTCAATATCGGCACGTGTCCCCTTTTTATTCAACATTGCAGCCAGAAATGAAATAACCTAAGGAAGAAAAACACAGCATGAAGTATTCAGAAAAGATGCAGTGATACCCAGATAACATTTAGAACAAGACTTGATCTGGGAAGTCTGAATTCATACTAGAACACATACTAGTAAAAATCATCTTCTCAGAATTTTCGTAATTATTCTACCCCCAGATTCCAGGAACAAACTTTCACCAGAATTTTTAAAGCTATGGCTGCAACTACATATAAAGGGAAGAGTGGAGGGCCCGCCTTCACGTTGTTGTTCTGCAGTCAACGGGGACATGGTACCCAGATGAAACCCCTCGCGAGGTCTGTAACACAGGCCTGGGCCGGCTTCTATGGCCTTCCCTTTAGGTATTTTGGACTTAGGCTCCCACAATTCCTTACAGTCAGTAGACTGTTGGAGTTGTGGGAGTTGGAGCCCAAAACACCTAGAAGGCCAAGGTTGGCCCATGCCTTATCTAGAGGAAAAAAGGCACAGGAGACACTAAAAGAAACTGGGAAAGAAGGGGAAGAAACAATGATTTCAATTAAAAATCAAATGTGTCTATAATACAGTAATTACACTGTGTTAAGTGTCTCCTTATTGATATGTGATGTTTTTATACATTTGAGGCATTGAATTTTGCCATTAAGTTGTGAACTGCTTTTAGACCCCCCCCCCCCCCCCAGGGGTCAGAAAAGCAGTACATAAATGCAAAAACTAAATAATAATAATAAATAAAAGGACACATATAACACACAACTATGTAAGAGGTGATGCAGTATGGCTGCTAAATGCTCTGAACATGCCTTGATGTATAAAACATTCATGGCCACAGACTGTCTCCTACCCCTACTCCTTCAAAGAGGAAAACATTGCTCTCTTAAATATGTGGAAGAAATAGGAACTTTGGTCATCAGAACCAGAAATGTAGGTAAATCCCATCTACATGGTAGTAAAGATAAAGGGGAACATACAAGATACTTTTGATGCAATATCCCATCTGCCCAAATATTTATGATGCCCCTTCCTTGTAGGATGAGGGACATGTGTAGGGATACCAATATGTTTGTTTATAAAGCTATTGTCCTTCCAACTGTTGTAAGCCTGCAAAACATGGACCCTCTACAAATGTCCTCTCAATTTCTGGAAAGATTCCATCAGTGAGATCTGCAAATCTTTTGGGAAGACAGCCGGACAAACATCAGCATTCTGGAAGAAGCAAAGACTGCCAGCACTGAAGTGATGATCCTCCACCATCAACTTCACTGGACCAGCCACTTTGTCTGAATGTCCGATCTCCCAAAGCAGCTACTTCATTTTCAAATCAAGAATGGAAAATGGAATGTTGGTGGACAACAAAGACACTTAAAGATGGGCTTAAAGCAAACCTTTAAAAATGTAGAATAAACACAGATAACTGGGAAGCCCTGGTTCTCAAGTGTTCTAACTGGAGTTCAGCAGTTACCAACAGTGCTATGAATTTTGAAGAGGCACGACTAGAGGGCAAATTGAAAAAGTGTGCCAAGAGGAATGAACATCAGTTAAATCCTTATTGTGTTCGCCTTCCACCTTGAAATCTATGTCCTCAATGTGAAGGACTGTGCAGATAGAATATGTCTTCAAAGTCACTTAAGTTTAAAGACTCTACTTTTGGAAAACAATCATACTTGGACCTGAGTGATCACCTATGATGGTGATGTAGGATGAGAGCCAGGGCATATTGGACAGGACAGACAACCACTGGAGGCAGAATTTCAATGCAATTTGCTACATGGAATGGGTAAACATTGTCCTAATAACAACATAATTTCCAACTGTAGACAGAATAAAAACATAATTTCCAACTGTAGACAGAATAAGAATGATCTCTGACAAGCAACAGTTTAGGGATTACAAATCTTGTGTGGAGTTGGGAAGATCCTTATTTAAGTACAAGTTTTGGTGTGCTCCAATTGTTTTAGAATAAAGTCAATATTAAGTGAATCAAGTTCACAATATAGCTGTGCCTTGACCTATTCGACTGGATGATCAGGCCTCAATTAAATGGGTATTTTTAATTAATTGTCACATTGACTATTTACACACTCTTTTCAAGTTTAACATGAAATTCAAACTGTTCTGAAAAGAACATGCTTATAATAGGAATCCAGGTCTTCTCATCATGAGTTACAACAAAAGATTGCAAACTGTTCAATGAAAATTGGGGGAAGTGAGTAGAAGTTATGGAATGGAATTGCAGAGTAAAGTCAGTCTGAATTACTGCTCAAACTATAGATAAATCTTTTGATTTCTCACAGAGAGCATTTTTACAAGGTATCTTTCCTCACTTACTGTCATTTTGCAATATGTGCTATACACCAATGTCTGGGAAAGAGTGTAGTAGTATTTCTCAAAAGGCAAGACAAAAAAAAACTAGTGGAAACCAGCCTTGTAACTAAAAGGACACAGAGAAGGGCTATTATTTCCTTGGATATATTCCCCATTTGCTGTTACTCTATTTAAGAAAGACCATAGGGTTTCTAATGGTTGTTTTAAAGATTCTTGCAGCTGTCACACAAAGAAAGTAACTTTTCCCAGCTTGGCTCCAATCTCACCAATTGCCTGCCTCCAGAGTTTAGGAAATATTGTGTCATGAATAGCAAAAGTCAACGTTTTTGCAATTTTCTCAATATTACTAAGAGCTGAAATGGATGGATAGATGGATAGATAGAAAGAAAGGAAGACAGATATCTGATATGTCTGAATATTTAAAGTGTGTAGACTTTACCACAGGGAAGAAGAAAATAGAAACACTATGTAGCTGTTTGTTCAGTTTAATTAATATTTATATTAGTCATTAATGTTCTTATCAAGTCCCCCACACAACAAATCTAAGTTGTTGTTTTTTAACCAAGTCAGATTACTGTTCTAAAACTGTATGAAATTTTTATTTTTTAAATGAGAAGACTCGGGATATTTAAAGACTGACTGTTTTGAATCAACTGCTCTCCTGTTTCTCCCATTTGCTAACTACACAAAATCTTAATTTTAAATGCAATCCAGAGTCATTTATGGCATTAATAAAGCATTAATGAAACATTTTCCAAAACAACTTAATGACAGAGGAAGTGCAGACAAAATGCCCTTAAAACATTGAGTGCTACACTAATTTCTACATACTTTTTTTTTTTAGACAAATCAGTTTTCCAAAATTTTTGTACTGTCAAAATGAAAATATAGCTTGCATCAATTTAGGGAAGAAAATAGGAAATAATAGAAACAAAATATGCTAGAGACACCTTTTCCACATGATCATTTTTGGTTTCCAAGGTGGACACAAACTATGGTTGCTATTTTAGGTCACACAACAATCTGCTTTGCCTCAGGGAAGAAAATAGAGAATCATACCCTGAAAGGTGAAGGCGAAAGCTTGTAAGGGAGCTCCAAATCTTATTTCATCATTATGATGGAACTACCCATGGGTTCCCTTATTAATTGTCAAGAAGAATGAATAAAACACAGTGAACTGGAAGTTTAATAAATATGAGGCCCTAACATTCAAAGGATGTCTAAATCACTAGGACACGATCCACTGGATAGACTAAGAATATGTGAGGACAGGGTGAAAATGTCCTGCCAGGAGAAAAAAGCTATGCCAGCAAAACAAGACATTTTAACTTTGCACACTAGCAGAAAGTGGGTTGATGTGTATAGCTGGCAGCATTTCTATGTACAGTGCCTGTACTCAGGCCAACAAATAGCGCCTTCCAGATTGGGCCAAGAGAATGATGAAGGATTTACAAACTTCTTTGTTCACTGGAGAGGTGACATCTCTAGCACAGCTTGGAACTAGCATAACTAACTAGGGGACCAATTTTTGTAAGTAATATAGAAAAGAAATGACAAAACATGTAGAATAGCGTCAGGACATACACCTGCTTTTCTGGTCAGAACAGACTGACAAGCCTTCAAAACTGCCTGAGCATCTATTAATACATATGCCTCTTCTCTTTGCATTTCACTGTAAATGGTTGAACAAATTACTTTTCTTCAGCATATAATCAAACCAATTATTTCCTGTGATAAAAAAATCATTACATTTTAAGTATTTCCTTTCAAGAGGAGGGGAACTATACCTGTACTGTTTTCCCAAGTCCCATGTCATCTCCAAGAATACATCCACGTTTGTGAACATAGTGACCATGTAAAAACTGGGCCCCTTCCCTTTGATAATCACGTAGGTATCGATTAATTGTATAAGGGATCTGATGTCCATCCTTGGACAATTGAAAGGCAACTGCAGGGGATGGAAGCCTTCTGTCAGGAAAGTAAGGCTTCTCCAAATCTTCATCATCAAATATGAAGTACTTTTTTGTATCGTTGTTGGTTTTGATCTTCTCTAGTTTTGTTACAAGTACTTTCTTTTCTTGAGAAGCCTCAAAAGAAACAATTGCAAAAAGCTTCCCATTTTTGTCTGTTTTCAAAGCCGTTATTGTGGCACCACAAAGCTTTCCATTTTCAGATAATGGGACGAGGCACTTATCTCCAACATGCCACTGATCTGTAAAGAAGACATACAAAGAAAACAAGAATTTGGACACTCAAAATCAATGTAATGAAATTCATTTACCTTTGTTCATCATGGGGAAAATGTTTGTTACACAAGGATTGCAACCAATGTTGCATTCTTAAAATATACTTCCATTAATTATTCTAAAGACAATGCAAGATAAAAAATAATAAATAACTAGTGAGCATTGTCTGTTTGACAAGAGTCTCTTTCCCAAACTTCTTCCTACATGGGAAATGAAATATATAAAACAGTCATTCAATAGATATAATTTTAATAGTAATACAAAAGCATTGGGATAACCATGAAACTCTGTGGTTTAAATTCTCTTGTGGTTGCTTTAAAGAGTTATGTGTAGATATAAACCGATATATTTAAATCTAAAAATTTAAATGAAAATCATACTAATAAGTAACACTAGAGTAGAAAGCTGTGTTTCCCAGAATTAAGTGTATTTCCTCGTGATGGTGAACACATAGACCTCCAAATCCTAACTTTCATAATTCCTGGTTACTTTGACCATAACTGATGGGGCAGTACTTCAGTCACGTCTCGGGGCGATCCACACAGCCATATAACCCAGAATATCAAGGCAGAAAATGCCACAATATCTGCTTTGAATTGGGTTATCAGAATCCACACTGCCATATATTCTAGTTAAAAACCGATAATGTGGGATTTTATTCAGCTGTGTGGAAGGGGCCTCAATGGCCCAACTTCGCTTGCACCAACCATTCCATTGGTGTTTTCCTCATACAAAATTGACATATCTGGAAAGAAGAACCTGTTGTACCTGTGAAGACTCTCTAAATGAGCCAGACCTCTGGATTTCCCACATTCTGACTTGCATGGAGAACATCCACAGATGTAGCTGGCTCTCCTTTTCAGAACCACCATTCTCAGATGAGAAAAACAGAAGGAAGAAAGCTTCCCTTTTGTGTGTTGAGTCAGACACTTTGGTAAACCCTGGCATTATTTTAGCCCTGGCATTCCTCCAAGAGCCCACATGGACTGCCAAAATTGCTTTTACAAATGAGAAACAATAAAGGTGGATGAACACTTGGAAGTTCACTCATGTTCATAAAAAAATAAAGGAGGGGGTTGTTTAAAAAATGGAAAGAAGATTCCAAGAGAAGCGATTTACTCTTCCTCACCCAACAAGGGTGATCCAGGAAAGAATTAAAAGTGGAAAGGTAGTGTTTTGTTGGGGATAAAAGTAGTATAAAGCCTCATAGGATACTTGAAAGCATTTACACTCATAACAAGTTGGTGTTACACAAGAGGGATAGGAGGAAGTTCTTACATGTGGTAGAGGTGGGATCAATGATCTTACTAAAGATTGACATTGCAGAGAATCAAATGCCCTAGATTTGGTTAAATAAAACTATCTTGACATGATTAAACAAATCAAAAGCTTGAATTTTTTAGACTCAAAATATATAATGTTAGTCATGATGTGTAAAACCTATACAGCTCAGATCCAGGTTTCTGAAGGACCATACAGTATATGAATATGTGCATGTTTTCCTATTTTCGGAGGAGGCCCTTCACTCTAACTACCCTGACAGATGCATCTGATGTAAATAACTCACCTGTCCGATGATCACACATTCCTATTCAAGCATGTAAGTATGGATGCCCAACACCTTTAAACCTGGAAAGGGCAAGGATAGAAAAACAGCTATATTTGCAACATGTTAGACAAGTATAATTAACTGAATAAAGCGATAAATATAGAAGTGCGTTTGCTGTGACGATGATTACATAGGAAATCCTGGAACTAGTTTGAGTCCTGGATGGTGATTACATAAATCACAGAACACTGATGCACATTAAGGGTTTTCTTTCATGCACTTTTGTGAGAGTTTCTTGCCAAGCCACCACAGTTAAAAGCTAACTTCAATCTCCATTAAATGGTCCATGTAGATGAGACCTAGCTAGTAGTGAGTAGATTACATATAAATTAAAGTGAGGGAGGGGGGAAATCTATCCCTTTTAAAATGTGATTTATTTAGATATTTTGAAGCCATCTTGTAAACTAAGTTCATCAAAAGAATAAAATAATTATAATAGAACTTAGTATTTAAAATATAAAAATGAAGAAAATATTAAAATCAGCATAAAAATATTCAAAAGTTGCAGAAATAAGACATCAATAAAAAATTTTGCCTACCTTACAAACATCAATTGCCTCTACTGAAAAATATGGTGATGCATTTTAAATTTTGCCCTGTTTTTAAAAAGATGTTATGGCAAGGAATATAATGCATATCTAATGCAGTGCTACTCAAAGGGGTGGTTTCTGGATCAGTGCTAGTCCCTAAGTCTTTGGCTGCCAGTTCCTAGAAAGTTTCCAGAGAAAAAAGAAGGAACTGCACCAAATAGCTATAGGTTTTGTTCAGGTTCAACAGGACAATGGGGGAAAATAATTTTCATTAGGCAGAATGTAAATCATTGCTCTAATGTATACTATGCCCATTTTTTTAAAAAAAAATACAAAACAAACCGTACAAAATAGTGTTTTATAATGCAGGAAGGGGTTTTTTGTTTGTTTGTTTTGTTTTTGCATTCTTCCCCCGAAGTCTATTTTTTAGATCAGCATCCTGCTTCCTATAATAAGCAGTGGCCTACAAGAGTCAAAACTGAGGCTGGATCTACACTGCCATATAACGCAGTCTGAATCTGCATTATATGGCAATGTTGATCCGTTCTTAGGCCAAACAAGTGCTGCAGGATTCAGAAAGCTGCCATCCAAATCATATCAGGATGGCTATGCAAACCCCACTCTTGGCTAAAAGGAAGGCCATAAACAGACATGAAAAATAAAGCCTTTCTCTTTGTTGGTAATAGATGGCATCCAAAGCTATACTGGGTCTGAACACAGAGGCAACAGAAAACTGTAACAAATCCCCTCATCATTTTATCCCATTTTTTTAAGCTTCTTTTCAATTCAATACCACTTATCTTGTGGGGAGGAATTCTAATAACTCACTATTTATTAAGAAATACAGCATGATACATGAAACCATGGATAAGATGATGTCCAAATCTGTCACTCCTTCCCACCCGTTACTAAGGAGGCTATTCAGTCCTTGAACCAGTGCTGTGTCAGACTGGATGAGGGCTAACAAATTGAAATTGAATCCAGACAAGACAGAGGTTCTCTTAGTCAGTCGAAAGGCCAAACAGGACATAGGGTTACAGCCTGTGTTGGATGGGGTTACACTCCCTCTATGCAGGTTCACAGTTTGGGGCTGATCCTGGATTCATCAATGAGCCTGGAACCCCAGGTTTCAGCGGTGGCCAGGGGAGCTTTTGCACAGTTAAAGCTTGTGCACCAGCTGCACCCATACCTTGGCAAGTCTGATCTGGCAACAGTGGTCCACGCTCTTGTTACATCCCGAATAGATTACTGCAACACACTCTACGTGGGGCTGCTTTTGAAGACTGTTCGGAAACTTCAGCTAGTCCAACGGGCGACAGCCAGATTACTAACTGGAGCGACATACAGGGAGAACACCACCCCCTTGTTGTGTCAGCTCCACTCGCTGACGATCCATTTCCCAACTCAATTCAAAGTGTTGGTTTTGACCTATACAGCTCTATACAGTTCTGGCCCAGCTTACTTGTCTGGATGCATCTCCCTCTATGTCCCGCCTTGCAGTTTATCTGGGGAAACCCTGCTCTCGCTCCCCGCAGCATCGCAAATACATCTTGCGGTGACGAGAGACAGGGCCTTCTCGGCTGTATCCCCTCGCCTATGGAACTCGCTTCCCAACAAGGTAAGATCGGCTTCATCCCTCCTGTCTTTTAGGAAGAAATTGAAGTCATGGTTTTGGGACCAGACTTTTGGACAGCAGGCATAAATAGTGCTTTGGATATGGAATTTGACTGGAATGGTGATACAGTGGTTAATACTGTTTTATTGTTTTAATTGATGTTCTATTTATTGTTTTAATTGTTGTTGTATTGCTTTGTTATATTTAATGGCACCAAATTGTGCCAAATGTAAGCCGTCCTGAGTCCCCCTTCGTGGGTTGAATAACTAAATAAATAAGAAATCCTATTGGACTTCTGGCCAAAGAATACCATAAAATCTCACTGAGAGTGGACATGTTTTCTTGGAAGTAAATCAAAGCAGTCACAGATACTGGTCCACCATTCAATATGGTGGCTGTACAGTTAACTGGAACTTTCAATCAACTGACAAGAACTGGGTTGCTTTGAGTTTTCCAGGCTGTATGGCCATGTTCCAGAAGCATTCTTTCCTGACGTTCTGCTTGCATTTATGGCAGGCATCCTCAGAGGTTGTGAGGTCTGTTGGAAATTGGGCAAGTGGGATTTATATATCTTTGGAATAATGTACAGAGTGGGAGAAAAAACCCTTGCCTGTTTGAGGCAAGTGTCACAACAACCCAGTGATTCCAGCCAGGACAGCGTTAGACAACGAACTGGCCAAGATTGCATAGTGGATTCACAAAACTGTTTTTATAAGACAATAGGATTGTGAAATTAAAATTAATTTTGTCTTGCAATTGATAACTGTATTCCAATATTGATATCAAGTCAATATTGTGTTTCTGGTATGGGGTATAGCATTAGTTGGACCTAATTTTGAAAAATGTGGCTTGTTGAGGAAACAAAGATTGGTGATAAAGCTTCAGGGGAAATACCTTTTTCCCCATAATAATAACTCTTTCAGGAGTGAAGTTCCCTCCCGAGGGGTAGATTTCACTCACTTCCTGTTGTCTCACCTCTGTTCTTCAGTAGGAGTCGTTCGAAAGTTGGATGTTTGTAATTCAGAGACTGCCTGTATGTGGGAATTACTTTCTAAAATATTTCCAAGCAGTGGTTGGTCGAACCCATGGATGCAGAACCTACGGAGGATGGACTGCGGACCTTTAGTATCCATTTGGATTTCGTTCCAGGACTCCTTGAGGATACCACAATCTGTGGATGCTCATATCCCATTTATATATACCAGGCTTGGGCCAATTCGGGCCCTCCCTCCAGAGGTTTGGGACTTCAACTCCCATCATTCCTAACAGCCTCAGGCCCCTTCCTTTTCCCCCTCAGCCGCTTAAGCTGTTAGGAGGCTGTTAGGAATGATGGGAGTTGAGGCTGTTAGGAATGATGGGAGTTGAAGTCCCAAACACCTGGAGGGAGGGCCCAAATTGGCCCATACCCGTGTTAGAGCCAAACTTGACTCTCTGGCATGCCATTCAACTGTGTCTATTTGAAATTAAGGAAAAGAAGGCAAAAATTAAAGAGTAAACACCACAGATGAACTGAGGCGATGACTGCTAATGAAGCGCCTTTCCCTATATAGCAGAATCTCTTGCATGTTAACCCAGGGAGCATCTACACTGTAGAATTAATGCAGTTTGACACCACTTAAACTGCCATGGCTCAGGGATTTGCAGTTTGCACTCTTTAGAAAAAAACTAAAAGTCAGACAAACCCCAGAATTCCCCAGTATTGAGCCATGGCAGTTAAAAGTGGTGCCAAAGTGGTGCAGATACACCCATAAGGGAAAACCCAGGGATGGAAAGGCCTGTGAGCGAGGCTTAAACTGGAGATCAAACAGATCAAAGGCAGGAAAAGGAAAGGGAGAAGACCCCTCAGCTGCCTGGCTCCCGCGCAAACCCGCGCACGCGCAGACCCACCCCGCGCGCGAGCCCACGGCCGCCGCTTCCGAACCTTCCGGGATTTCAGCCCCAGCCCCGCTTGCCTTCAGGCAGCTGTCGGCGAACTCTCGCGAGATCTGTGATCACGGGAATTCAGAGCTGCTTTCGCCATATAGACTCTCACGGAGCGTTAGAGGATGGGCGCCATTTTTGTTCTCTCTCACACCTTCCAAGAGAGAAATGCGCGTCCGTCAGTTGAAAATACTAGCGTTTCCCCGTACGCTGGGGCCAGGAAACCTCCTGTATCCTTTTCCAGCCGTCTCCACAGAAATAACGACACCAATACGTTCCTGTTCGTGGTTCTTATCCTTGTAATTCTTAACTTCCATTCGCTCTATAGGCAGGAAACGTGATCTCGCGAGAACGTGATCAAGTCCCGCGATACAGAAACTGGATTCTCTGTTCTAGTTTATGTTGATTGCTTGAGTGAATGCCAGACCTGGGTCAGCTTTGGCCCTCTGAGTGTTTTCATAGAATCATGGAGTTGGAAGAGACCTCATGGGCCATCCAGTCCAACCCCTGCCAAGAAGCAGGAAAATTGCATTCAAAGCACCCCCGACAGATGGCCATCCAGCCTCTGTTTAAAAGCTTCCAAAGAAGGAGCCTCCACCACACTCTGGGGCAGAGAGTTCCACTGCTGAACGGCTCACAGGAAGTTCTTCCTCATATTCAGATGGAATTCTCCTTTCTTGTAGTTTGAAGCAATTGTTCCACATCCTAGTCTCCAGGGCAGCAGAAAACAAGCTTGCTCCCTCCTCCCTATGATTTCCTCTCACATATTTATACATGGCTATCATGTCTCCTCTCAGCCTTCTCTTCTTCAGGCTAAACATGCCCAGCTCCTTAAGCCGTTCCTCATAGGGCTTGTTCTCCAGACCCTTGATCATTTTAGTCGCCCTCCTCTGGACACATTCCAGCTTGTCAACATCTTCCTTCAATTGCAATGCCCAGAATTAGACACAATATTCCTGGTGTTGTCTAACCAAGGCAGAATAGAGGGCTAGCATGACTTCCCTGGGTCTAGACACTATACTATTGATGCAGGCCAAAATCCCATTGGGTTTTTTTGCTGCCGCATCACATTTTGGACTTCAACTCCCACAATTCCTAACAGCCACAGGCCCCTTCCTTTTCCCTCTCGGACACTTAAAAGGAAAGGGCCTGAGGCTGCTAGGAATGGTGGGAGTTGAAGTCCAAAACACCTGGAGGGCCCAAATTTGCCCGTGCTTGGTTAATACTTGTCATTTCTCTATGACAAGTAGGCTTGTCATAGAGAAATTCAACTGTTTTAGTCGAATTTATCCGTTTGCTTAGAATATACCTACACTGTAGAATTAATGCAGTTTGATACCACTTTAACTTCCATGGCTCAGTGCTGGGGAATTCTGGAGAATTGTGGTTTTACATGCTCTGTCGGCCTTATCTGCCAAAGAGTACAGACTGAGGGTCCTTCCACACAGTCCTATATCAAGGCAGAAATCCCACATTATCTAAGTGTGGACTCAGATAACTCAGTTCAAAGCAGATAATTTGCCTTGATATTCTGGGATATAGGGCTGTGGAAGGGCCCTAAGTACTAGGCTTCCATAGCATTGAGCCAGGCCAGTTAAAGTGGTGTCAAACTGCATTGATTCTGCAGAGTAGATGTACCCATGGCTTCTTCCATCACCTCACTCTCAGCATCCACCTTCTCACTAGAAGACAGTTATTTAAAAGCAATGTTTTTGGATTTGGAAAGAGTAGCCGTTTATGAGAAACGTTGCCTGGGGGGGCGCACGAATGTATTCACTCAGTAGAAGACAGTCAGCTAAACTGAATGTGGCTTGCTCCATTTCTTGGGGCCCTTCCACGCAGCCCTAAATCCCAAAATATTAAGGAAGAAAATCCCACATTATCTGCTTTGGACTGGGTTATCTGAGTCCACACTCAGATAATGTGGGATTTTCTTCCTTGATATCCTGGGATAATAGGGCTGTGTGGAAAGGTTCCCAGGTTATTTGGGATTTTCTACCTTGATATTCTGGGATATAGGGCTGTGTGGAAGGGCCCTCAGTGTTAATGACAAAGAAAAGTCCCCTAATTTCACTTTAATCTGGGAGCAGTCTTGATTTCCAAACAGGGAAATGCATCCATAATTCCCACCAAATCAACGCCTGAAATTATTTTTTTAAAAATCCAAAATGCTAACTTTATTTATTCTTTATTTATTTATTTTGGGCTTTTATATCCCGTCCTATCTCAACCTCCAATTTGGAAAGCCTTCACAATCCACTGTGCATCTCCATCCACCATAAAACACACCTCTACATGTTCACTCAGAAATGCATACAAGAAGCAGCATAGCACACACAACCGATTTATACAAGTCTATTTAGGCATGAGAAGGATAAATTTACATGGGTAAGCATGGCAGCAAGTTCTGCAAGCATTCATAATCGATTTCTTTGCCTGTAGTGATAGCAGCGACCCACACTAATCAACACACTCATATAAAAAACTGTACATACCAACCATCTCAGATGCAAAAACCCTATTCGCACTAATATACAGCCACTCACACATAAGGGAGGTCTCTGTGGTTCCCTTCTCACCCTCACATTGACTTCCCACCACTTTTGTGCTGTCCTCCCTGCATAGTTTCCCTCTCCCCCTTATTGTTCCCCCGCATATTCACTCACCTCAGTCTCAACTGAATGAAATGGACAGGATACCAGGAATTTTGACAATGCACTGGAAATTACAAGAGGATACCATATACATGTTACAGAAGGTGATTTTTAATGAATGCCCAGCGTTGTCTGCCTTCTCTGCTATCTTATAGTAATATTCTGCGCATACACAGGCATAAGCCATGCTCAGCACTTCCCCCAGCAAAGAAGGAAGCAAAAAGGTGGAGTGGGTTGCAGGGGAAACAAGTGCAGTGCACTGTCACACTCCACTGAATTTCAAGCTTTGATTAAGATCAGGAAACCAGAAGAGACACAGAGGATGCTGTTCCCGT